TACAAGTCAGGATGGGGGAGAGGGACATGTACGTCTCAGAGAGGATTGCATGGTCAGATTGCATACTGCTGGTAGGTAAACTGAGAAGAGCAACCTCTCACCAAGAAAAAAATGCTTAACAATGCCTATATAGAACCCAAGGGGAGAAACGGCCCAGAATTGTGTTCCTAATTGGACACTTTGGACCTAGTTTCTATCCAGCCGTTAGTGACCCAGACCACGTGCTACAGATTACTGGGACGTTAGAGTCCGTCCTTGGAGGCATGCTTCTTCCATAGGCCATAGAGATGTGGAAATCTCACTAAGCGAACGGAGCTTTACCTCAAACTCAGATTCACCTGCATATTTAAGAAATGACACTCCCTTGGACGTGAGCGGAACCATCCTAGTGAGAGATAATTGCTATTCCAACATTATGACGCATGGGCTCGCTCGGCTTTGGCTTCTTGCTTCGAGGGTGCCCAATGAATGGCAGCTCAGGACCATGGTTTTAGTATTTTAATGCCTTCCTTGCTTCCTTATGACATGGATTAGTCTGGTAGGCATGGCTCTGGCCCTGTGAATGAGTGTTATTGAAAGTTTTGTCCTATCACCAATCCCCATTATTTGTGTAGTATCCAGTTGTTTATATGTTTAATCTGTACAAGTCAACAACGAATGGACTCTGTGATCTGAAGCCAGCCAATCCTTGTGTAATTTCGTTTTCTCAACAGTGGTTTAAAATTATACACCATTGGCTAAACTGACACTATCAAGAAAACTACTTTATGCCCCAGGGGGATGATTTAAAATGTTCTCTATCATAAAATGATAATGCTCTCTCTAAAGTGAACAAGAGACATGTATATACTTCCTAGGTGGCTGAATGCATTTTGGGCATACACTTAATTCTAGCCCCAATCTAAGGACAATTAGTTCTTCTGACATGGCCCTACTCAATACTTGTCCTCAGGGAGAATCACTGATGATTTGAACAGTAAAGTGTGATGAAGAAATCAGATGGGGCCTAGCTATTACAAAGAAGAGCATCTGGGTTCTTAAAGGTTTGTCTTCAAACAAGCATCCATCTTAAGCGAGGCATCAACTAAGGCCACATGGAAGAAGCACACCAGTCTGTGTGATCTAAGGATTAGAAATAATAAAACCAAATCTGGAGGGAATGAGCTTAAATTGTGAATGCCTGGTTTGCAAAAGTCTAGAGTCTAAGGATGGCAGTGGAAGCCCACAACCCGTTTGCAGGAGATGGATTGACACAGCGGCTGCAACAGTGGGCTCAAGACGGCGCCGAACGGAGTGGTGTTTCATTGTTGTATTACACATAGGGTCGCTATGAGGTGGAACTGACTAGATGGCACCTAACCAACCAACCAAAAACACATGGATTAAACCTCCGATGAATTCCCTCTGGCCATAGTCCCAGGATGTGAATAGCCTTGCTGTCAGGCAAGAGACGCACTGTATAGTCAAGTACAGTAGATGTAGTTCAAAACGTAACACCTTAAACTAGCCTGTGTAATCATGAGGTGTTGATGGGATCAGGCATCAGGCATCAAAGACCCGGAATGAAAAATCTTATCAATGTGATTGAGGGGGAGCACGGAGAGGAGATCCAAAGCTCATCTCTAGACAAGTGGACATCCCCTTACAGAAGGGTCACAAGGAAGAGACGAGCCAGGGTGCAGTAGCACCGGTGAAACATATCACTTTCCTCTAGTTCTGTGTCCCCCCACTCCCACCCCACTATCATGACCCCAATTCTTCCTTACACATATGGCTAGGCCAGAGCATGTACACAGGGAATCCAGGGCAGATAAAGCCCTCAGGACCATTAATGAGAGCAGCGATACCAGGAGGGGAAGGAGAAGTGGGGGAGGGGAGAAAGGGAGAACCGATCACAATGATCTACATATAACCCCCTCCCAAGGGGATGGACAACAGAAACCTGGGTGACGGGAGCCATCGGTCAGTGTAAGACATAAAAATGAAATTTATAAATTATCAAGAGTTCATGAGGGAGAGGGGGAAATGAGCCGATACCAAGGGCTCAAGTAGAAAGAAGACATTTTGAAATGATGGAAGCGTATGTACAAAGATGCTTGACCCAATAGATGTTTGTATGGATTGTGGTAAGAGCCATACGAGCCCCCAATAAAGTGATTTACATTGGATTACCCTGTGGGAACATTTTCAAGTTGGTTTTGATGTGAGAGTTTTCTATTTTAGTCAACGTTGCTGGGGTCTTTGGGTTACTTCCCGTTTCATGGTTTTCTGTATATGAAATTCAGGAAAGGGAACTCTAGACAGCAACTGGATTAACAACTACTTGGGGCATGGCAAGGGAGGTTTCGGGTAAATGGTGATCCAAATATGAGAAGAAAATTTTCCGAAGCAGATTACGATTTTCGTACAACTCTTGATTTGATTGAACAATTCAATGGTGACATGTGGGTTACATGCTACCAAAACTTTTTTTTAATTTAAAAGTTAAAATAGCGAGAAAAAAAGAATCTTTCCCTTTGTTCCCCCAAACAACGAAGAGAAAGCAAATACACTGCTATTCAATTCTGACTCCTAGAGACTATCCAGGGCTTTTTAGCTGTGCCAATTTTAAGGGAACATTCTGCTGTGCGCCGGGTCAGAATCCACAGGACAGTGTCACACAAGCCCCTTCCGCAGAGGAACCTGTGCAGACTGAGTGAGCAGGCTGAAGTAGCCCGAGGCAAGCTGTCCTGCAGGGTTTGTTTCAAATAACCACTTCTCAGTCTGTGTGTGTGTGCGCTCGGCAGAGGGAAGTCTTTTCCTTTCAAAATCTTGAACTGCTTTAACTGGCTTTTCGCTTTCAACATTCCAGGTTGAGAAGTCTGAAAGCCATTCTGATTCCTCATCTGTGACCTGCTTGTTTCAGTTTGGGGAAGTTGACAGATGGCCTATCGTGGGAGAGGCCGGCTTTTCACCGACGGATGCTTTCATTCTGGAAATCCACCTTTTCCTTTTGGTCCAGTGGTTCTCCTCTGGGTATCTGAAGGCTCAGCCTGATCTCAATCTTTGCATGTTCCCTCCTTCTATTGTTAGGGCTAGGGTAATTTTTGGTCCACTGTAACGGAGCTCTGGGGGGTGGTGGGGGGTAGAGGCCTGCTGCTGCCAGGTCAGCAGTTTGAAACCACCAGCCGCTCCTGAGGAGGAAGAGGGGCTTCCGACCCCGGTAGAGAGCCCTCTCAGAGACTCCTAAGGGCAAGTTCTAGCTTGTCCTATAGGGCAGTGGTTCTCAACCTGGGGGTCAAATGATTCATAACAGTAGCAAAATGCGTTTTGAAGTAGCAACAAAAATAACTTTACGGTGGGGAGGGGGGTCACCACCACATGAGGAACTGTACGAAAGGGTCTTGGCACGAGGAAGGTGGAGAACCACTGCTCTAGGTCACTATGCGTGGGAACGGACTCGATGGCGGCAAGGGGTCAGCTTTAGCTTTCAATTCTACTGTCCTTTCGTTCCCAAGGCCATTTCCTCGTCTTGTCCAAGTGTTCCTTTCCCATGGCCCACCCTGAACAAGAGAGGTCTCCTGCAGCCCTCTGCAGCCTGCGGAAGCTGCTTCTCTGTGGTCTCTCGACGCTTTGACGTGGCCGGGTTGGGTCTTCTCACTGCCTTTAGCGGCTTCCATCAGGCGCCAGGTTAACCTTCGATGGCAGACGGAAACCCCGACTGCAATTGCGGATTGCTTCTGTTCAGGGCAGTGCCTCTCAAGCATGGCTCCACGCCATCTCTTGGGAAACTGAAAACACAAAACCCCCAGAAACAGTCCTTACTCAGCCTACATGCAGCTCGGGTAGAGGAAGGTTACTGTGCAGCTCATGTTGCGGAGCACCCAAAGGTGACTGGCTTTTTGGTACCACGAGGTCCTTGGGGTGAGGCGCTCTGACACCCGTATGCCTACGTGCCTGACGCCCTGTGGGCTAGTACGGAAGCTACGGGGAGCGTCTCCCAGTGCAGGGACCTTCCGTGGTCCTTTTCCCTTTCAAAGTCACAGGCTGTACATGTGATGGCGGTGACACGGTCGGTTCTGGGTCTCTGATGGCTTCAGCCATTTGTTTGAGCCCCTTCTGGCACGACCTGACAGGGACACGCTGCCAGGCTTTGAGCCTTCCTTCTGGGTTTCCGTGTTTAAGTGGAAATCGGTTCTCAGTTTTTTCCTCTGCCAATTTATCACTCAGCTTTCTTTGGTCAGGGTTCCAAGATCTAGTGCAAAGGACTCCCCTCCCATCTCTCTCCCCGAGGGCAGTTGGGACTGGAAGGCAAACAAGCTGTTTGTAGAGGAATGACAGGAGCAGTCAAATCTCGTGGTTTTGCTGTCTTTACCTGTAAGAACGACCACCAATCTCTACAGGGGAGCTTCGAGCTATAAGCGGTACATCCCCCAATGCCTGGGGGCGGGAGGAGGTGGAACGGGATTTCTAGCAAAACCATCTAACCTAATGACGACGTGAACTCCGGCCACTGGAGGAACACTGTTTTATTGCTGCTGCAGGTGGACCGAGACTCGGGTGGCGAAGACTCGGTGTGCTAGGTGCACAGAGGGAGGTGTGGACACCTGAGTTTTGTTATAAAGCTGAAATGCTAGGCAATAGGGGACATACACCCTCTGCACACACGGTGTGCTTTTAAACGGGCAGCCCATCGATCGGCCTATGTCATCCACGCCACATGTTAAGTGGGCCCACCGTGTGAGAAGTATTTCAGATTATGTATGTATTCCACTTGGCGATTTTACAGAGAAATCTGTGTTTGAAGTTCCTTTGGAAATATTAGTCCATGTGATGGTGGCCATCGGTTCTGCCATGTCTCAGCCGGCAGGAGGCGGGTTACGGCCGCTCTTTGGATGGCAGTTCCGTTACTTTCTGCGAGGTCCCTAAAGGTCTCTCAATTTGCAATGCTGGAGGAGGGCGCTCCAGTGTCTAGAAGCTAACAGCAGCAGTCAGTCTATGAAAGGCAGAAAAACCCAAAGTCAGAAAGAATTAAAACATTTATTGAGCATAAATATATTACATATACACTACAGATACAGTTAGGTATTACATAGAGCATAATATTTGCAAAATCTATACATTAAAATTGATATGGCAGTTTTAATACAAGGTATATGAAATAGTCTTGAAATTTACAATACAGGAAAACATGATTCTTTTTCTCTTTTTCTCCCTTAAAGTTGAAAAGCTTGGAATGTATGTCCAACAGTGAGGTAAAACATTTTGTTTTTCAATTTAAAGAACTGTGCAAGGATAACATTCAAACACATTCAATTAGGGCACTTTTCAATTCTGACATGAATACTGAATTACTGTAGCCAACAAAACAAGGGTAGAAAATGCCAACGTTTCAAGTCGATAAGAACAAGGCATATGACAAGGAAAAAACAAAACGTTATTTCAAACAAGTTTTCTTTTAAAAAGGTTTCTTTGAGCACCCAAGGCCATCAGCATCACGTGATATGACTGGCGTTTCTTGGGCCAGGGGTGAGCGGGACACAGAGAGAAGCCGAGCACAGGAAAAGACAACTGCTTCCTTCTTCTATGGACCACAATGAGCAAAGAAGTTAAGATTCCTATAACACTTTATTTTATTGTTCATGTGTCATGGCAGTAGCTAATTACAGACCAATATCACGTCTACACAGGTGTGATAGAGCACAGCGCCACACACAGCAATAGTTTCCTGAAGAAGGGTTACTAACAAAGACAAATAGTGTGGAGAGCAATAAAATAAAGTGCCGTCAGCTTGTATATCACACGCTTCAGCTTCCTGCTGGTTGGACAGACAGTATGACGTCTCAGAAGGATCAATCTTCCCAACAAGGTTGGTGTAAGTTCACGTTAGGAAGGCAATAACCAACTCGGAGAATCCCTTCACAGCAGCCAGGCTGAAGCGCTCCCCAAAGGGCTATTTTTCTTTGCAAACAGTAGGGTTTTTGTACTCAGTTGAATCTCCATCCCCTAAACCATGCCTTTTTCACGAAACACCTGCATGAAATCGTATCTGAAAATGCAGATGCTGTGTCAGAGAGGGTCATATCACACATTTACTTAAAACAGACGGATGAGTTTCGGAAGAACTTCGGCAAAAATATATTTACCTTGGTGCCATTAGTTTGCAAGGTGAATCAAACCGATTATAGTCAGTAACAAAATACAAAATTCTCTATTATTTACTACAGCAATATAGGCACATGGAATAATTCACTGATCTTACCACTTTCTTTCAAGAGATGATTATGATTTTGGGGGGTACATGTAAACGTTTCAATCACTGATAATGGAATTTTTTTTTTTTTGGCATTTAATGCACTAGATGCTCTTCTCCTTAAAAATACAAGAAATTGTCAGGTGATTAATACTACTACAGATGTTGCCAAAGAATTCAGTGACCTAGAATTACAAAAGTATAAAACACATACCAAAAAAAAAATAATAATAATAACATGCTACAAGGGAAAATTAGTACATAAGTACATTTTAAAAATTTTACAATAAATAAAGATTGCACTGTAATTGGCATTTAAAGTACTGTATGCAGAATATAGTATAAATAAACCAAAAAAGACAAAATAATGTTGGTTTCCCCACGACTTTGGTATGGGAATATTATACGCTAGTACAGGATACTGCATCTTAAGACGACATAGACCAAGCACAAAGTAGCTATGATTGAGAAAAACCAAAGAGCAAAAATATACAAAAACCGAAGCAGGGGAATACACTGTGTCTGTCGCACCCTTTTGGAATATGTTTGCATCTCCAGCTCCTACGTGTCTCTGAGGTATGCGGACAGCATGGTCTTCATTCAACTAGTCCAAGGACTTTGGGCTAAAACTGATTATCTCGTGACTCCAGAGAAACATGCAAGAGTAACAGTTTACACTGCAATAGCACCTGTGGGTCAAGGATCTCAAAGCACTTACAAACATCTAGAATCCCCATTTTTACTTTATCTTTTTAATGCATGGGAAAACTGAGGCACAGAGGTAAAGTGACATGTTTCGGTCACGCAGCAAATTAGTGACAGGTCCAGGGAGAGAATCGAGTCTTCTTGACCCACAAACACCCTATGCTTACCCCCTAATGCCATCCCTCCCCATCTCCACACCTGGCCTGGTCAACCCCACAGAGAGAGGAACTACACATTTAGATGACGCATTTCGGGGGCTTTATCCGTTTTTATCTGCTGTTAGCATTTTGTGCACTGAATGAAGGTACTAAAATTCAATCACTTCATTGATACCTCAAACAACGGCCTAGCGGCAAATCTTTCAGAAATAAGGAGCTGACGCGCAGGAAGCTTGATCATCCTTAGTGTGAATTGTGGACAACGGGCAGAGGCACTAAAACCGTCACCAGTTCTCATCATATCATTCTGGTCAAACATAACAGAATATAATTAACTCTAGTGATTAGATTAGAAGTAGTTATATACAAAGACACATACACAAGTTAAAGCAGCTTTTAAAACAGCTGAACAAGGAAACAACTAACTATTGCACAATGCCCTCTTAAAGTTCCTGCTAGGAATCGACGTGGTAAAAATCTACAATGCTCCATCATGTATAGTTGCATTTTGGTTACTTGATTTTGTAGACAGGCAGCTCATAGTGTTAAAATCATAAGAAATACAGATTATTAAAACATTTTCGGTTGAAGTACACATTTTAATTTAAATGAGCTAAACAATTCAACAACCGAGTGACATATAATGGAACTCATCTCAGGCAGCCATGTCCTAGTGAACGTGAGCTTCTGCAAGGTATGGTGGTGGTCATACTGACCCCTCTGAAGCCCTAGCCCTTTCCCTACCCGACTGTGACTCATGTCTACACATACAGGTGTTCACAACATACGTGACTGGGGAATATAAATTACTAAACATTAAAAACAAACACCAAAACCACCCCCAAAGGCTTGCAAAAAGACATCAGTGAGAATAAAAACAAAACAAAAAAACGAATGTGAAAACTTACAAGAAAACCTAAGAAAGCTAGCTTTTGGTATCTGGCTTGTTTTTCGTGTGTGTGTGTGTGTGTGTGTGTTTTCTTCTTTTAAAATCCAGTTTAACCTCTTCCTAGTCTTGCATTTCAAAAAGGTGCACCAAAACACTGATATATAGATATATATTTTTTTTCCTAGCTAAATCTGTAAAACAAGAGAAGTATATAAATCAAAGAACAACAAAAAAAAGAAGTAGAGAAGGGAGTAGCTGAATAAATGTGTGTATTAAAATGTGTAGCATTAATGAAATTCATACCTCTAAGTTTTGTTGGGTGTGTTTACTTCATTAAGAAGTACTGTAATATAAAGGCAAATAAAATAGACAAAGTCGCAAAGCCAGCCACAATGAGGGCTGCAAACTGTTCATCAGTAGGCATCATGCTCTTCATTTTGGGGTCATCTAAGCTCCCCATGTCCCCTGTAAGCATGACCTCACTTCGTTGTAGTACAAAAGCCGCAGAGGGGCTGAAAGCTCCGCTGAGCTCCTGAGAGGTGTCTAAACAGCGACGACAGGCGCACACGCGGAACCTGTAGTCCACGTTGCTCTGCAGGCCTGAGATGTGGAATGTGGCGTCTTCTCCCTTGTACACCTTCAAGAAAAGGGAGAGTCTGATCAATGAACTTATTTATTACAAGACAAGTCCCTAACACAGTAACCAGATTAACACTGGGGCGTTGTGAACACTGGCTTGGTTTAAGACAGTTGAAATAAACAGGATGTAAAAGTTAGTGGCCCTGTTGAAGGGAGAGAGGAAGGCCGCTCACAGGAGGCAGGCACTTTAAATAACAAAGGCATACCTACCTGACTGTAAGAATGATGGCTACTAAGTCAGGAGGCTGATTTAATACTTAAAGGACTGGTTTTGGTCTCCAAAGCATAGCATCATGTTAAAGAATTGAAGTGCCATGTCTATACAATTACAAGCAAGTGTCTAGCTAGAAGGTTTCTGGCAATTGACTATCCCAGGCAACACTCCCCAGTCAAGACTCCCCACCCCCACCCCCATTCAGACCTCTAGTTCCACAGAGCTGATCTCGCTCGCCCTAAAACTATACACAAATGTTGTCGTACAGGACATGGTCCTTTGTGATGAACTTTATCTGGGTGGCTGAGTGGCCGAGAAATTCGTTCCTTTTGTTGATGGGGAGCGTCTCCCTCAGATGACTAAGTTTCACTCATTTTCCTTTTGGGAATGTTTGGTGGTTTCTCGTTTAGAGTTCTCATACGATACGACTGCTAAGAACATTGGGGGATAATCCTTTGAGGACCCGAGTGTTTCTTTTTCTTGAGCAAATACCGAAGAGAAGTGCCGAGGCAGAGGGAGGCTCTACATCCAACTCCATGAGAAAGAGTTTCCCCAGGTGACCAGAGCGCTCTGCACGCCCATCAGCGAAGGTCAGAGTTCCACCTGCTCACATCTCACCCACACCTGTTCTGTCAGACTTCTATAAGGTGAATGGTATCCTCTTTGCATTTCCCTGGACACCCACTGATGCCGAGCACATTTCAGGGGCAAATGGGTGACCCGTCTCCCTCCCTTTGTTAATCTGTTTAAAGCTTTGGTTCAGTTTCAAATTGGACTTTTTATTGGGGCTGGCCCTTGGGCTGACTACACATGAGCTTCGCAGGAGTCAAGTGAAGCCAAGCACCGGCGCTGGCTGGCGTCCGGGCACGGTTGCGGGTGCTCACAGACCAGTGGGCCTGAGGAACGTGGTCACCAGGCTTGTGCATCGCCGCACCGCCAGGGACTTTCCCTGGGACTGTGCTGCCCTCCCATGGGGCAGCGGGCCATTCTCTGTATGCCTGTATTGTCATTCATGTCCATAGAGGGCCGTAGAGGGGCTTTCCCTGCTGCCTCCACCCAACCCACTTTAAAAGGCAAAGCTCAGGTAAGAGGGCTTTTTTTTCTTCATTGAAGTGACCCATCCTAGTATCACAAGAAGCATATAGGCAATATTATTTTTTCAATTTGTCTTTGAACTGATGAACAAGGTATTTCAAAGTCATTCTGACATGTTCATTCCAAGGTGTAAAGTCATACCCAGATGACGGAAAACGAGCAATCCAGGCCCCTCCATTCAGCACAACCCACTGCTGGAGGGGATCGCCGGGAAAAGGACACACTGAATTTCTGGAGGGCCCACGGCTGCAGCTCTTCACGAAGGCTCCTCACCCCCAAGAACTAGCAAGGGGCACAGCATGGCACAGCCTGGTTACTGGCTCAGTAGTACCTTCTCGTGGCTGAAGGGTCTGAAGCACTATCCCGAATGGCACAAGGAGCGAGCCAAGGCTCGGCAAGCCCAGCGGATACCTCCAATGACTACAGGACGACAGAAGATAGCAGGGGCGCTGGTGACACAGTGGCCATGTGCTTGACTGCTGACTGGAAGTTCAGCAGTTCAAATCTACCAGCTGCTCCAGGGGAGAATGATGTAGCAGCCTATTTACATAGTGATCACCGTCGAGGAAACCGTATGGGGCAGCTCTCCTCTGTCCTCGAGGGCTGCTGTGAGTGGAGCCGACTTGATAGCGTGTCACCACCGCCCCCTGCATCATACACAGGTTCTAAGCAATGGTACCGTATTTGTATCGCAGCACTTTTCATACTAGCCAGGAGGTGGAAACACCCTAAACATCCACCCGTGGATGAAAAGAAGATGGAAATGTGGCAGAGATACATACAGTGGAATGTTCAGCACGCATAAAGGTACGTGAAGCTCCTGATACACGCTCAACATGGTTGAATTTTGAAAACATTACGATGGGTGAGCTAACAGCCCATCCCAGAAGGGCTAGCACCGAATGCCCTCACTGAGATCACCGCGCTGGGGGAAACGGGGCCCATGCTGCACTGAGGCGTTGGGGTAGGCGATGAGATTACTTCAGGGGAGGTAGAATCACGGGGGAAAGGCATCGGGGCCACACAGAGCGACAGTGCAATCCATGTCGCCGAACGCACCAGTTTCAACTGCGGCAATGGCGAGCGTTCTGCTGTACGAACTTGCATCCCGCTATCAGAGATGCCATCCGGTTAAATGTAGAACATGACAGATTAGCCGATGCTTCAAGGGCTTTCTTCTTAAAGCCATAAAGCTGGTCGCTAAGATGAGCCATCTGTGACAAAATTTAAACTGCCAACAGGAAGTAATCTCTTCACGTTTGCTGATCTTTTCCCACCTTCAAGGCTTCTAGTCCTTCTCTTCTGATTAAAATTACTGTGGTCTGTGTAGGGCTAAGGACACGAATCACTGGGTCTGACTGTGTGTGTGTGTATAACACTGTCTTTACCCTACACCTTTTATCAAATGATCAGTTGTAAGCCTGTAGGCAACATTAACATCTTTTCAAAGAAATGTTTTACAATGAAAATTCCTGGGGGCGGGGGAAGCATGTGCTTGGAATATTTATTAGACAGTAGAAAAGTCAAATCGACCGATGCACGCATTTTAATGCACAGTAATATTTTACGGGTAGATTTACTATTTCCCCACAACAAGAGGAGTGAAATTCAGTCAATTAGCAAGAATCAAGGCAAAATTAGGATCAGTATTTCAAGCAGCATCTGGATCCAGCTAATTCAGGCTCAACATTCTTCAGAGAGCTGCATAGCCTGCCACTCCCACCCCGCACTGAATGAGTCTCTTCATTTTAACAAGACTTCCAGGTGAGTCTTATGTATATTACACAGGCTCTTTAAGAATCACCCAGGATTGTGTTAAACTACAGATTCTGATTTAGTATCACTGAGATGGGAAAGGGGAATTCTTCGTAGGGAGTTGAGCCAGAACTAATTTGGAGCCCTGGTTTCATTAAAACACAAAACAATACAAAGCAAACCAGAACAACATGCAGGGTCTACACTTTTTGGGGAAGAGGAGGTCAGACTCCTTTTATGGATGGTTTTTATATAGAGGTTACAACCGTCACCTCTAAATACAATTCAAGTTGACGGCTATTTTTATTCCCAATGCAGACATAACCCAGTCACTTTGAAACTCTTTGCTGTATGCAAGCCGCATTTACAGAGTGCATACTACAGGCCAACCAAGGGAAGAGAATCATGAATTACATAAAGCCTGCGTTAGTGGGTGCTGTCTGATTAGCACCTTAATTGAGCTATGCGCAGAGCACTTCCAGAGAGCCATTCGCTCTGCTGGGGCTGATGCGCAAAAATGATAGCTCCTCATTTTCTTTTGCTTTGCCTCTGTGAATTTAATGTCCACTGCTTGCTATCCCTGGGCTATAATAATTATTTTAACCATTACATTGCACACATGACATAAATAGGCTTCGTTCCCCATCTCGTGTCCAGAGCAAGTGAACGAAGTACTCAAAATACCATGTCGAAGTGACTGTTTACTGAATCGGGCGACGCTAAAACACAGTACAAATTGTCCCTGACTCCACGGTGCCTTTTTATGAGCCACGACTTGCCTTAATCATTTCTTGGTAAACGTAGGAAATACGGTCATGTGAGGAGTGCTAATCCCCAACTACTAAGCCTGCCCTGCAGTGTGGTTGTTTTCACCTAGAGCGTTTACAAGAAACAAGAAAAACATATTCTAAGGCATAGATTTGATTAAAAGTGATTATATTAGTATTTAGATGAAAGGGCTTCACAAAGTTTGTCCGAAAAAAGCCCCCAAAATTGGTAGCATTTTCCCACAAACTTGACTTCCCTGATAGGTCCATCAGTCTAAAAATAGGCAACATCAAACAGCAGATTCGAACACAGACAATCTTGCCAATAACAATCGGAGTGAATGAAACGGTATTCTAGCAATGGCTGCATATAAAGATACTGAGCCAATAATGCTTTTTCTATGTAGGACATCTATCACTGGACTCCAAGAAGCAAAACATTTACCCCTCAAAAGGTAGGAATATATGGTAATAGAAGAAAAGGCTTCAAAACTACAATGATTGTGCAGTGATTGTACTACGGGGAAACAAATCCTTGTTAAGTCAAATGGCCACCTTGTAAAATTTTGGAACGGTTCATCTTTTAATCATTTTACATTACTATAGAACAGAACAAATGTTACTCACGCTTAAACGATGACTAAGTCTAGTGGGAAGAACCCCCTACTCGCTATTTGATTTGAGATCTTCACAATACTCTTATCGCTAGGGCAGTGGTTCTCAACCTTCCTCTTGCTGCGACCCTTTCATACAGTTCCTCATGTGGTGGTGCCCCCTCCAACCACAACATTATTTTCATTGCTACTTCATAACTATAATTTTGCTGTTATGAATTATCATGTACATTTCTGATATGCAGGATGTATTTTCATTATTACAAATTGAACATAATTAAAGCATTGTGATTCATCTCAAAAACAAGATGTAATTACGTACTATGAAATATTTATTTCTAGTGACAAATAAAGGAAAATTTTTTTGAAGCATGGTGTAGCATGGGTAACAGTCTTCATGCCGGGTACTCGTATGTGGGCGTAAGCTGCATGTGGGCGGACCCGCCTGGAGACAGATAGAGGAGCAGTGTCTCAGTTCCTAAGACCATCGGAAATATGTGTTTTCTGATGGTCTTAGGCGATGCCCCTGAAAGGGTCATTTGACCCCCAAAGGGGTCGCGACCCACAGGTTGAGAAGCACTGCTCTAGGGGAAGATGCTTACACTTTCTCGGAGACAGGATCTACAGCACAGAATGGACTGTGTGAAAGAGGGAGTTAGGATGTCCTCACTCTGATTGGAAGTGTCCTGTGTGGGGGTCAGGGAGTACAGCACTCAGCTGCTAATCACAAGGTCGGTGGTTCACATCTATTGGCGTCAGGACAAAGCTGTGACGGTCTACTTCTGCTTGCATTTACAATGCGGGCAGCCCTATGGATGACAGCTCTGCCCTGTCCCTACGATGCAGCAGTGCGTACGAGTGGTTTGGGTCGACAGGGAGCACCTTTCAAACTTCACAACTGAGGCACCTGGTAGGCCTGGGACTTCTGACTCCATTTTGTCTGCTTGGCTCTTGCTCAGAAGTTTTTCCTGGAAATGCTCAGGAAGGTTGCTAATATGGTCAAGTAGGCAATAAAGTTCTTTAACAACAACAACAACAACAAGCAGGTTCAGTAAACACCTGGCTACTCTGTGGTCAGCCATTTGCAAAGATTTCAAATCTAACCAGTCAGAACCACTTGTTACCTTCGTAAATGTCAACCCATCAGATGGCTGATCTATAAGTTGTGATCTATATATCACTCTTTCATATCTCTCGCTTTTAGAGTTCTTAGTGTCCTTTGGTCAACTGAGTTTTCCCCTGGTTCAAACCGTGCAATTCCTTTAATAAAAATGCTTCCCTTCGATTCTAACAGAGATGCCAGTATTGCTCCCTGGCAGTTTCTTGGTGTCCGAGTGGGGTTTGAAGGTGTGCTGCCTGCAACCACGTCTTGACTAGGTTTTCATGTCAACAGAACTGCCCCAATAGATTGTTCTGCAAATATTTTGGGAGACATGAGCCCTTGAGTTTTGAGATTCCCCTCTTTGCATGGAGCACTCTGATACTGACTAAATAATCTGGCTTCGTGTTGTCTGATCTGTTTCCAGTTTGGTCTCAGAATCAGCCTCTACTACTGGCAATAGTGGAGATCCCGGATTTGCGTTTAAAATTGCCCTAGAAGTTTTTAGGATCTTGGGCCACATAAAGCCACGTCTCAAGAACCAAGGATCCAGGTTAACTGAAGAAACACTACCAGTCCTTTCTTAAAATAGTCAGCCAAGTCCACATGGGACTATGCCAACCAGTGTGATCACAGGATTATTAATAAAATGCATGGGGGGGGGGTGAACACACACCTGTATTAGAGCTTAAATTCTGACCACACAATTTGAAGAAGATGATGGATTACAGTGAGAGCCCAACCTGTATTTGCGGAGCCCACACGTGTACTAAGCTCCTCAATGATTCCTGGGCCCACTGACAAAGGAGGCGAAGAGTCCTACCCGGCAACAGAGTGCACTGGGGAGCGGATCACTGCAGATAGTTAAGGTTAAAACTGAACATCTTACTGTTTGTTTTCCGTTTTGACACATTTCTAACTTGTTCTACTTTTAAGTATTTTCTGTTTCCTTTTGCATTAAGGTTTTTCTGTGTTTTATTTCGTTGCTGTCAGGCTTTCTTGGTATGATTTTCTTTATACGGAATTCAATGAACTATTCAGACAGTTAACCAGATTCATCGTCTGTCAGGATGATGATGGGGGAAGTTGGGGAGGGGGAATAGGGAGCTAATCTGATAATGAATATCAGAATGAAGAACATGTGCTCACGTTGACTGGGGTGGTGATTATGTAAGTTTTAAAGATCTATTTAAACCATCCAACTGTATGGTGCATGAGTTATAAGTCCATAAAACCGTCAGGGTAAAAGCATCTAAGGGTTCCTGTTGATTTGCAACCTTGACAACAAAAACAAAAGAAAAAAGCTGTGAATCACAGAAAGGGTGAATGGCTCCTGAGGGAGGATATGGCAGTTCAGAAAAAGGACTAGAAGTATTGGGTTGCCTGCCAATCACAGGACAACACCTCTGCTACTCTCAGGCAGGTACTGGTTTAAGCAGTTACCTGTCCAAACCCCGTTAGAATGTTTCTGCATCTGAGAACGATACCATTCGCACAAATGTAAACCTTCTGTGAAAATGTGGGATGTCTGGGATCCTCGCCTAACATACAAACCACCTGTTTGTGGGGGAATCTCACTTAGGAGAGTATGACAAATACGTGACTACTTTGACGTTTTGGGTTTTTTTAATAATCAAGTTTTCTGAGCAGCAAAATAAAAAATGGAAAGGCTCCTGAATTATGCAAAAATGGGACACCTATTTTAAATGATACTTTGAAATTTCTAGAAGATGTGATGAAAACAAAATTGGTTCCCTGCAGGCTAATGTTTCCAAACTGCCCGAACAGAAGAAGGACCAGACATCTTCCCTCATACCCTTCCAGTGGTGATCTCTCTATCTTCCCCATTTCTTATTCCTCTGTGAACTCTTTGTTTGAACTACCTATTTTTACTTAAAAATAGAAAAGTCTATCACTGTCACCTTTGCTGAGATGGCCTTTAAGGGAAGCCCAGAGAAACTGCAGGACCTTTACAAATTTTATTTCACCCAAGGTCTAAATGAGCTTCACGCTATCGTAAAACAGATTCCCAGGTCACACAGAAGCCCTCAAACAATTCTGAAGTAATGTAGATTTTCATAGAAACCTACAAAGCTTGGCTGTCAGATTTCTATCAATTAACAAATGTTAATGGGATACAGGGAATCCAGTAGTGAATGGAGAAAGCACCCAGAGGGATCTCTTTGTGGGAGCAAACATCTTTGGGATGGAATTGGTGAATAAGTCAGGAATACGCATGAGTGTCCTTTAGATGCCACACCTAAAGTGTTTCCTGGAAAAATGAATTTGGAAAAAGATTAAAGTTATACACAAGAAAAGGATGGGAGCATTGCTAATTACTGAGATTGTTTAACAAAAATTTCTGCTGAGCAGCCTGTTAGTCACCGAAAAGGAAAAAACCTTCAACTCCCTGTTATAATGCATTACACACGAGTAGTCTGAGGCGGTTCCACAGCACAGAGGAGCCAGAGAAACACCCATCACAGAATGAACTGACCTGGTTTATAAACCCGCCCAGGTTTTACAGCAAAGGAAACTACAGACTCAACAAAGGTCTCAAAGCCCCAACAGCGACAGTTTCCTGTTTGACGAAATAAACCATTTTTTTAGGGCTCTCTGAACTAAATGATTGCGAGAAGCCAGGGCATTGGAAAAGGACCGTTGCCAATTAAAGAACTACCGAAAGAAACAGTCCAAACCAGGGGTCCCTCAACCATACACGGGATGTTTCATCCCTGCAGGATAAAACACAGGTGCTTTTCCGCCGTGGCACTAAACTCAAGAAGGACAGCTGCCATGCAAGTTCATGGAGGACTAGACAACTTGTAATTTCGAATCAAAGACAAGCTTCCATTCGTTCTCAATCTGTTCCAATATTCCTTGGACCTACTGAAGGTTTACATCCATTCAGCCTCCACACGTTGGGGCCATCGACTCACACAGTTCTGCTAGTTACCCTTGTCAGCGATCGGGGAAATAGGACTGCGTTGATTTGCTCTTCCACTTCCCTCCGTCTGTCATAACCCCACCAGTACCGTAGTTTTCAAATACATAGATACTTTGATGCTTGTAAACATCATTTCCAATAGAAAAAAATAAATACAGAACTTGACACCTTGCTTTTCAAAGCAAGCTCTGCTTGAGAACTGGGCCTTGAAGGTGAACGCCCCTCCTAGAAATGAAGTGGAAGCTGGGGCTTCGTGAAGCTGAAGAAGCAGGGGGCACCTTCAGGCGGTTTCTACCACTGGTTTTAGAAGAACAAGAGCTCACTGGCCACTGAGTCACTCATGTCCACGGACAGAGGCATGCAGCGCAGCCAGCGAGACGCTGGGACGCCACGACCTGTCATGCACAATGGCTCTTTCTTACCTGTTTATATTCAGCTTCTCTTCCAACCAGTACCTGCAGGATGTAGTGGACAGGATCACCTCTCATTGGTGGTACCGTCTCCCATAGAATTTCACATGAATTTCCTTCTAACTGGGTCACTCGGGGTGCTGAAATAGAAACCCACAGGTGAAGGGTCAGATGTCAGAATACCTTGTCAGTAATTAATATTTCAGCCGCATGACGTGAGATCCCAGAGCCCGCAAGAGCACATCTGTGTGTCCTTCCCGAGAGGGAGCTGTTTTGCTGGGGAGGCTCCTGGTGAACCAGAGGGGGCGGTGTTGGCACGAGAGCCCCCCTCCCCCACAGCAGTCAGCCACCAGCTACATCGGAGGAAGGGGAAAATTGGTTAAAAAAAAAAAAATAGAAGCTGTTTCAAAGAATTTAAAATTAGTTGATAAATGGAACAAAAGTAGGAAACAAGTACTAAAAAAGGAACAACGTCAGGCAGATTATTAATATGAGAGGCGTTGACGTGAAGAAAACGCTAGGGAATTCCAGGTGAGAGGAAGCCACAGCTAGGTAAAGAAAAGTTTGAGGAACAGGTGGCATCTTGAGGGAAGTCCCAGAGAACGGGCACCACTGACAGCCTTAAGAACGGAGCGTCGTACAGTTCTTTGTAACGGTTTAGAGAGCTCCTCACGACGTAAGACGGAGTCTGCAGAGCACGATCTTTCTCCTTGAAGATTACCTGTAGGATTCCCTTTCAGAAAAATGACAACAGCAGCAACAACAACTAGTCTGTTGTTATCACTTGGCCCAAACTCCTAATAGTTGATGGAAAAACGAAGCAAGAGATCCTGTCAGACTAAATAGGACTCCAGCTAAGACAAGACTTTCCTGAATCCACAACTGAGGAGGAACAGGGCTGGAGCACATGGCAGCGCGAGGACCCTGGCCCCTCTGGAATCAACGGACATGTTCTAGTTACTGTCAAACGAGCCCACCCCCAAAACCATGTTGAGAAACAAAGTTAAGTCTCCTCATACCAGAAAGACCCTTGAAGTGTAACTGGGAAACGTGGTGACCCTTTCCAATGACCAACCAACCAAGCGCCATCAGTGTGTTCAGGAATCTTTTCGGTTGGAGCAAAGACCCGGAGCTGGATTCAAGGGCTGGGGGTACCCAAAGTGACCCTGTACTAGTTTCTTAGTTGAATACAGAATCGGTTATGAAACACCAGCTATGACATATTTGCAATGCTTCTGCGAAGGTTTAATTCTGTGATCCATATTGCTTTGTTACTCAAATGACAGTCCACAGGCTGGCAACATTAGTATCGAAGAGAGGGAGCTTGCTAAAAATGAAGCTGGGGCTGAGCTCGCCCTCAACAAGTCCTGCTTCCCTGCCTCTCTTACAGGGCAACCATTCCCTGACTCTCCAAGGAAACTGAGGCAGAACACGCTGTCCACGCACCTTTGATGGCAGGGGGCACACTTTTGGTTGTGCTGAAGGTATAGGTTTCGGAGAAGGGCCCTTCGCCGGCATCACTTGCAGCCTGGATTCGGAAGGAGTAGCCCGTGAACTCCGTCAGCCTCTGGACCTTGTAGGTGTGGCTAGGTCCTCTGTAGATTGGAATAAACCTAGAGGAAGGAGCAGAATCCATTAGCCAGCTGCACTGTCAATGATGACAAAAACTAATGATGATGAAAAGTTGGGGAGCGGATGAGGCCAACTCGGTAAACATTTCCCCCTATAGTGGGGATACTGCATCCGTTGCCAGGCTATGGTTAAGTTTCAGTATGTCTACTAGTGCGCGTTTACCTAAAAGGAAAATGTCCACGTCGGCACATACACAACTTGGAATGCAATTCCTTTCATCGTGGCCTGAGGCCCATAAACATCAGTCGCTCATGTCTGTATTTGCTATACAAACCAGATATGTCACCTGATCACGCTGACAGTAGCTGATGCTGCTGTGTGATAGGCAAGGAAGTTCATGTGAATTAGAGACTGGCAAAATAAAATGTTCTCTTTACCTGAATTTTCTCTATCAAGTTTGACAGAACAGTATTTCAAAGTTTAACCCCCTATCCATCTTTCTGTAAGATTTTGAAGAAGGCCCTTTTCCTAAATAGGTAAGAAATATGGATCTTTGAGGAAAAATGAAAGATAGGGAGCTCAGAATCAGCCATCCAATTGATCACAAAACAGACGGTGGACCTCCCGCCCATGTGACCCAGGGGACTCTGCCTTTAATGCAAGTTCAGTAAGACACAGGAGATCAACCAAAGCAAACGATGATCTTCTATTTCAGGAGTTTCCTCCTCGGGTTTGGGGAGCGAACACGATCACAATGAAGCTGGAGTGTGTGTCTTCTAACTACAGAGCGGCAGGTATAACAGAACTTTCCAAACTTCACTCGGAATTTTCAGCAGTTGCAGGATCTGATGCTGGGCCAGAGACAGCTGACCGCTGCATCAGTTAATGCAGCTGTGTCAGTTCTCCCAGCTCCTAGGGCTCCGTTACATCCAAGGGCAATTCATTTCTGCAGGGAACTGGTAGTCGGTCGCTGACCAAATCACGATTCAAACGCCTGACTCAGTCCGATTTGGCTGATGAGGTCATTGGAACGTATACATTTGTGTTAGCAAACATTTATTGAACATCTGCTAATGGGCTAGGCACTGCGGATTCAAAGGTGATTAGGCCTGCTGATGTGGCTGGTAGTGCTTGTGGACAGGGTTCTCTTAGGGGCAATAGTAGCCTTACCAAGTGCCAAGGAGGGCCTGGGTGTGTGGGGTGTGCTGGGTGGGCATGCATGTGTACAACAGCACCAATTCCCTTCCCTTGTAAGCTTAGCTGGCCCTCTTTCTGGTCTTGTCCCTAACCATGGCCGTCTTCCTCTGATATTGGTCAATCAAAAACCAAAACCAAACAAACAAGACACCCCCCACATTTACTCCTTTCATTAGCAACTACTAATTGTTGGAGGGAAGGGAGCCCGGCTGGCAAAATGGCTATGTGTTGGGCTGCCAAGCACAAGGTCAGCAGTTCAGATTCACCAGCGGCTCCACTGGAGCAAGAGGAGGCTCTCTACTCTTGCTAAGAGTGACCGTCCCAGATACCCACAGGGTATCCTGTACGAACAGGTTTCTACGAACGGGATCGGCTCGATGACATTAAGAGGTTTTTATTTTGGGTGGAGGAGGTGCAAAGTCAAACAAATATTTTTTTTCTATAAATCTTGAAACAACTTCTCTTCTAAAACTTGTCAGCATCCACACTAATTTAAAATGTCCCTGCGCTCAATAATCCTTACACTCAAGTTCCTCGGCCCACTCATTTCACCTATTTCATGTTCTTTCTGCTTTCCTGCGTCAGGAAAGGCCTTCGACTGGTGGCTGGGCAGTTTTAATTCCCGGGAACATCAGAGCCCAGCTGAAACTCTCAAATACCATGGTAACCTATTTAGCGCTCTCGACACAAAACCACCTTAATGAAGATACCCTGGCTAATGTCAGAGGCACACAGCTACTTATTAACTCAGCCCCACCTGGGCTAGAATCTGGAGGGGAGTCACTGCCCTTGGTTAGACCACATGGTTCACCAGGCACCAAAGGCAGACAGGTTTTTAACGCAACTTCCGGGCTGCCCCCTTGCCCTGCCGCCCTCTTGACAGACGAGTTCCTTTTGAAAATGAACTTGGCGTGTGATCTAAACTGGGCAAATAGCATAGAGAATGATTCTCAAATACATCGACGCTCTGTTTTCTTAGAAGTTCTTCCAGACTCTACTCCGGTCAAGATTTAGAACTCACAGGGGCAGTTCTACCTGTCTTACAGGGTCACCCCAGCCAGCATCGACTCCTTGGCAGTGCGTGTTGTGTCCCTCCACAGCGCAGCCCTCAGACAGGAGTCTGCATGTCCGGCTGGGAGGCTGACACATCAACTGCACTTTCTAGTTCCACTTCCCTCTGCTCCTCGCGTGACCAAGAGACCCATGTGAACCTACCAAAACACAAGACCACCGACGCGCCTGTAACGCCACTTCCCCAGTGGTCCCTATCACCTCAAGAAACTGAAGAACCATCTTTCCTCAGGAGCCAGCAAGGTTATGGCCAGTGGTGGTGTGACCTCTCCGGGAGGCTCCTGTCAGTTACTGCTCCCCCCACTGCCACCCGTGGCTACATCTGCTCTGGTAGAGATTGAAAATATTTATCAACTATTTGTTCTACGAAGATGAACTGAATTTTTTCCCCTCTAGAGTCCCTTTTTTTAATTTTTAATGACCATGTTCGTTTTAAAATTCATGAATAAGACAGAGGCCTTTTGTGGTGGAATTAGCATATTAAACACAACAATCACATGGTGGCGAGTTCATTTTAAATGGCAACCAACCAAGGATCCTGAGGTTAGAACAGGCTCTCTGGGGAAGCACAGGGTGGCCCCATTCAGGGCTCCCTTCCCCTCACAATTAGAGCACCTGTAGTCTGTGTGAGGATCCCCCATGCTTACCCAGCAGTCTCTGGGGCAGGTCCTGTGGTCTAAGGACCCTGATCTAGACAGAGCTAGGACCAACTCCACTCCCTACGTAACCACGCTGCTGGTGGGAGGTGGTGGTGGTCAGCCCTGCCCCTAACTGCCCACTCACTCACCTCTGCTAAGTACCAGCTCTTCCTGTGCCCGAAAGCTCTACCTGAGGGCTGTTTTAGGAGTCAAAAGAAATAACGTGGGTCCAAAGCTTAGCAGGGAGCCCAAGGCTTGGTGAGAGCACAGCAGATGATGGACTAGTATTGCCCACCGGCTCCAACTCCACGGCAAAAAAAATGCCTCGTAATATGCCAACATGCTGGCTGCTGCCTCTCAGGGGTCTGAGCCCAGGTGAGGGCCTCTGCACACCACAGTGACTCCCCGCTCCTGCTACGCGGCCTCTCCACGCACACCTGGAGCTGCTGCTGCCTTATGCTCCAGCAGGATAGGGGAGCCTGGATGTGTGACACTCGGCTGCATGTGTTACAGTTTATACCACACATTCGCTCTCCCTCAAATTAGTGACCAGTCTCATTAGACGGTCAAGCAGTGGGGTGAAATGCTAGCTGTTACATCTCCCCTGCATGGACGAGCAGGCATGGAGTCATATACATTCCTGTATGTGTCCAGGATGCATTCAATTAAGTCCCCGAGTAGCTTCTGACTCAGTGTGAGGCCTATGCAGTCTCAGGTGTCACCAGGTGGGGCCCATTAGCTCCTTAAAGGCAGCCCAGAAGCCCATACTGGGTTCCATACTGGGTTCCACACTGGCCAGGGTGCCAAGGGTCTTCTATGCCACCCACAGCTCCTGCACGTTGCCGGGGCTAGAAACTAGACTGCAGATCTTGTAATGCTGGCACTGTGGTACTGCCAGAAAGGGTGTGGAAGGTTGACATTGGCACATCAAACCAGGCAGCTCCACTGCCCACCCTGAGACCTGAATGCTGAGCCAAGCCAATGCCCTTGTCTAGAGACAGGCATTCATATGGGTCCCTTGCCCCTTCCTTCCAGGATGACTGTGAGCGCCTGGGAGAGGACAGATGACCCTTGGGGGCCTCACTGATGTGTCGACACGGGTTCACGGCCACTTTGTGGGGACTGCAGACTGAGTTTGCATTCAGGCCCGAGAGCCGGGCAATCTTGGGCTCTGCAGTCAGGGAAAGGAATCCCTCCTCTTTGAAACTGGTCTAGCCACCGAGCCTGCCTCACAGGGTTGGGAGCACTGCATGAAAGCAGGGAACACCTGTCATACAAGGCCTCGCACTTGTCCACGCTCAGTAATTATGAGCGGTTACCCTCCTCACCAACCCTGTTAGCTGTAACAGAGCACTCAGGATGTCGAAGATGAACGCTTCCACTGGTTCAACACAAGAGAAGCCTTCGGGAGGCCCCCAGAATGGGACTCCTCACCACCGAGATTCCTAGAGACCTCCTCGAATTGGGGAGAAAGCTGGGCACATCGCCAGCATGCATCCCCCTAGTCCTGGGGAAGCTGGTCGTGTGCTGCCACAGGAAACAGGTGGCGCAGGCGGTGGCAGGCCTGGACAATTGGCATCCATTGCGTGGACATGTACATTTCTATTAAAGGAAAGGAAAAATGGGGCGCAACGCTCCCCAGCACTTGGAAAGGGGCAGTGCATACAGGGCAGGAGGTTGGGTGGACCACTGAAAGGTCACTGACGACACATTTCTTGTGGCTCTACTCCCGTGGCGCGTCTGCTAAGCCAATCACCTCCTGCCCACAGGGCAGGTCTGACCCCCAGCAGCCACAGACGGCTCCATCTCCCTCTCTCGGAACTGCGAGGCTCAAGCAGGAGGCCTCTGCTTAGCAGGGGAGCACTTGAGCCTCGGCACCATCAGGGCTCCTGGGTATAAGGTGGATCCCATCCACCCTGGCCATGAGATCGAGGCTGACTCACAGCGATCTTACAGGCTAGAGTCAAACTGCCCATGCGCTCCCGAGGCTGTAAATCTCTCTCCCAAGGAGCGGCTAGTGAGTTTGAACTGGTAGGGCAGTCAACAGTCTGAGGTGTCACGGACTAGGCCACATGAATAGCAAGCTGCCACTAATACTACCTCCTCAGAATGACCTGCCCTGCTGACCTCAGATG